CCCCCCCCCCCCCCCCTCAATGCAACTGCTATATGGTCATTCTTTCAAAACTTGTAATAAAATTTAGTGTTTCACTATCAATGAAATGTTTGGATAAAGAACGTTTAATGGTACTGTACCTTATCTTTAAGTCCAAAATGAAGATGAGGAAGCATGTGTAGACATGGTGATAGAAGTTTCATGTTTTTTGGTACAATAGACAGTTCACCTTTCTTGGTCTTTCCAGGATTGCCACTGCAACCAATTATATCACCACGCCTCAATTTGGCAGTATCTACTATAAATTTTTCTTCTGACTCATATAGCTTTGAATTTGCCATTACTTGAATCTTGACTCCTTCTCCCCGCAAGTCATAAAATATCAACTTGGCTCCAGACTCTCTGATTGCATGTATGCGACCTGTTAACAAGAGGACATACGTAACTGAAGATTCTCAAGTGATTAAGTTGTGGTAAGAAATATTACAAAAGCATAAACTAGCATAATGATATGAAGATAAATGTGTCAGCAGTAACAGTTGGAGAAATAATTAGCTTCTTTTCATAATCCAGACAACTATGTGATTTATAATGTATAGGTGCCATATTATTAAGTTTTCCACAAATGACCATAAAATAATATTTCAAATAGAACATGAACATGAAGTGCTCAATTCTGTGATCTCTTAACTTCCATCTGGTGTTATCCCCTTGTGCATAATCTACTGACAGTAACTTGTAATGTGTGGTACTATTACTAAAATATCAAACAGTTTAAACCTGCAACGCTGACTTCGATGCCATCCAAAATTTCTCCATCACTAACATGGTCATATGTATCTATAAACTCTGCTAGCGAGATTGAAACATGAAACTTGTGTGGATATGGATGTTCATCCGTCTGCTTTAGCTGTGCAACAGCCTGACTGCGCAATCTGAAAAACTCCTGCACAGAACAAAAAAGAATTACAACCATATTATTTTTTACATTTGTGATGTAACACACTGTGCTTTCAAGTGTCATCATACTAATAATTTCCCATCATAACTTAAGAACAGTTTTCAGAAACAATAGTGACTTTAGCAGAGCATTTCCTTGACCTTGAAGCTGTGACATGTTTTTGAATGCTCTCTTGAAAATACTGCCCTGTGCTATAAATGTTCCCATTGTTGGAGATATCTGCATACATGTTACCAGTAGCCTGATTAATATACTAAATTCTATACAAAATATGAAATACTACAAACACAGCAATATGTTGAAACACTGGGAAGCTAGAAAGCTAATAGAGAACTGAAAGTCAGCTGACATTTCTGTACCTCCTATTAGAATGGCTGTATGCATGTGCAGATAGGTACTTCTGTCTGAAGGTCATGTCAGTTCTCCATTCAGACAGCCAGTACACTTTATGAACAGAAATTCTGAAGAATTTTCTATCATCTTATATTTCCATAAGCTGAATAATAATGTCAAAGCATCTATGCTGTATACTGTAATGTGCAGAAACTTGACTCACGTTGGGACTGATCTCCTCCTCTTTAACAAGAGAGCTGGTCTCTTTCTTTTTAGTGCTCTGAGTGCCCAGCAATGCTTTCTCCTTAGCTTTCTGCTCCTGTTTCAAGCGTCGTTTCAACTCACTGCAATATATAAGTAAAATCAATCAATGTGATTGCTGAAGCTCACACTATGACATCTTATTTACCACACTCAGGTCTCAACACACCTATGATGCAGCCTTGAATTGGATCCAGAGAGACGGCTTATAGCAAGACCACCTCGGAAAGTAGGACCCAATTCCCAGAAAGTGTTCCCTATTTCCCTTATGCATATCAGTCCAAACCTCAACATGTTGTCTCCACCTCAAATTATTCTATCTGTAATGACATTTGCAAATTTGTATGTAGCAAATCCATTCATGTACACTGTACCTAGCAACAAATTTCTTCATGTGCTATCATATTCAAAAGTTCAGATTCCCAAAAGAATAACAGGGCCTTGCACTCTGCATCATAACATAAACACTTCGTATGTATGTATGTGTACAAATATATAAAGACTAATTTCTTGATAGTAAAATCTTGACCCTGCACTACCAGTTTCCAAACCCTTTTTGACTAACTACGTAAGTGTTATCCACATCAAAAGCATGACTCTCTTCCTAAGATAATTAAAGAAAACAGAAGGTAGGAGAAAACTGCATAATGAAGACATTTCACAATCAATAATCTTCAACAAATACCTGGATAATCAAACCAAGGAGATGATCTTAAGGAAACAGGATGGGGAGGCTGGATTAATCTGGCTCAGGACAGAGATCAGTATCAGGCTCTTGTCAACACAGCAATGAACTTGGAGCTCCATAAGAGGCAGGAAATGTAACTGACTAACTGAGCAACTATTAGTTTTTCATGAAGAGCTCTGATCCACGGAGCTGGCCTGGTGGTAGATGACACGTTGTATGAAGTAGAGAGATATGGTCAGTATGTTGTGAAGTTGTACACTACTCTTTACAATTTCATTTCAGGCCCCTCTTATCTCAATGCCACATAATTTCCTTATTTATACGTGTCAGGCCGAAGTTAACAAAGGCAGCACATTGTTACGAAATATTTAAACCGAACACATACACCAACAACGAAAACCCAAATGTTACATTGAATACTGTGATGTTTTACAGTGGAACAATACAAATGCTTACTTTTTAGATACCTTCTCTGCCTCTACCTCGGCCATGCTTGCACGTCTTTCACGTCACCACACGCGGCAGGGTTTCGATAGATAATGAATAGGTATGAATGGACGATCAACAGAGGAATGTTTAACAAATACATATAGTAAGAGGCGCTTCATATAAGATGGCAGCACAATCTGTACAACCAAGTATTTACACAGGAGCACCAGGTTCCATATTACAATGGTCTAGTCATAGATTGGTTGGTAAAAGTATAGGTCATAATTAAGTATGTATGTCTGTACAGGTACAGTTCTCTTGCTCATGCAGATCCTGAAATACACAGGTGAAAAGACTTACGGGCACAGATGGGACAGATGACCTTCAGTTCGTCTGTGATAGTGGCGGCACAGTATAATTATGTTCAAATGTGGACATGAGAATATCGATAAGACGTTGTTGCCATAGCAACCCTATTCAGACGCTGTTTCGTTGTGGAGAACATACATCAAATCTAACATTTCGACATTTCTTTCCAATTCCAGTTCCAATTACAATTTCCAGTGATATTTCAGCTAAAAAAAATGGAATTTAGTTACCAAGACTTTAGAAGATTAGCTGAAATGCTGAAACCGACCGAAGAAGATTCAGACAGTGAAGACGATTTACCACAAAGTGGAATATCTAAGCTCGGTAAAATATTGTGACGTGTTGCTGTGAGAGCAGCATAACAATGTCAATAAACAGTTTAGTTGTCTGTTTATTAACATTATTGGGTTTGGCATTGTTGTATTCGTTTATAGACATTATTGTATTTGGCATTTTCGTATTGACGTGAATAATCCAGGGTTGACAATCTAGGTCGTAAATACCGTCCCACGTTACAATATTTACGGTTGTCTTCAGTCCTGTGCATTTATACTCATATTTATGTATATCAATCGGGTAATAACAGAACAACTGTTGCATTTAAATAACCAATTATTGTTTCTTCGGTGTTCTCATTTTGTTTGTGAATACAGATGAAAGGTCGTACATTAAAACTGAAACTGAAATGAGAGCAAAAACTGGAGGAGCTTACTGTAGAGTAGAGACGGCTGTGACTGAGGAAAAATAAGCTCATCAAGGGATCTTATAATAGTTTACTTTTGCTATACGTAGTCGTTTTTAAACCCTTAATATTTTTTAATTTGGTTGGTAGTTTCATTATTATTATTAGTGTTCTGTCTGAGGACAGGTCCATATGAACAGGATCCTTCCATCCTTTTCTCGGACTGGGACCTGTTCATATACGTTTTTGGCAGATGATCCAGAAGTGGTTTTCCATTGCCTTCTTCTGTGTGTGAATGTAGTAATTGTTGGGATGCCACGGAGAAACCGGGGAAGCCCCCGGAGGAAAACTCCGTGTTGCCTAGACCACGGCCTTGCCCAACACAAGTTATAAATTCGGGCACCGCCGGGAATCGAACCCGAGACCCCAGGATTACAAGGCCAGCGTTCTAACCGCTAGATCACCGTGGCAGTCTGGTAGTTTCATATAAATAGTTAATGCTGACAGCTTCAATTTAGTCAACCTAATATTATGGCCTTTGTAAACATGATTATCCTTGGGGTCCCATGAACGATGGGGTATATCTTGACGATCTGAAATTCTATCAGATTCTCAAGAAAAAGAACTATGTTTCGTGTAGTTAAGAGTTTTAAAGAAGTATGGGCCATTAAGACGTGTCATGGCTATTTTATAAAATGCTCTCCTTTCTTCTCTTATCGTGCAACAGGCCCAGGAAATATTGGACCGAAGAAAGACAGCGGAGATGGAAATGGTGCCACTGCAGTCACGGAAATGGCTGTTGATGACGCTGCCATCTGGGATGAAAGCGAGATTCCTGACGTCGATGTGGACGACACCAGCACGGACCCTCGTGAGAAACCAGATTTTGACATCAAATACAGACAGGCGGTAACTCCAGAGGATGTGTACCTTCAGGTTCGGCAACCAATCTGATTACGCTCGTCCCTGCTTTTGTCATTTTCAAACGCCTAATTTCTTTGACGTGCGAAGAAGATGAAGTACAATAGCGCAGTGGAAGCTGTGTACTGGGAGTTGCACCTCGTCTGTCTGAATATTGCTGATAGATAATAAGGCTAGGTCACATGCGTAAGTTACACAGTAGTGTCAAATAATGTAGGAATATGACAAGTACTGGATAAGATTTGTAAGGAGGAGATCACTGACTATATGAAGTTTGTGCCCTAGCATTCACTGGTAGAGATGAAAGAAAACTTGCTGGCCCATAATCGAATCGGGTAACTTCAAAATTAAAGTCTAGAACGTTCGAGCCGAATTGGTAAAACTTGTGACGTCCTGCAAGTAAAAAGAATCTCATCCTCTCACGTTTCCCGCTTGACTAACCAACTTATCCTTCAATCTTTTCCCTCTTTTAGTGGATTAGGTAGAATTTATTCTACATTCAGTTGATACGGTCATGTTTAAAACGTCGGTAAACTTCTGCCAGACTACACGGCGCAAAACCCAGAAGACAGCCGTCTTCGGACTCACCGGAGTGAAAACCTCAAATCCTACAACGAATAACCGATGTTGGTGTTGCAGATGGGAGGCAAGTCTGCAGGTACTGCGAGCTGTGAGGATCTGGTGGTGAGCGTGCAGCTGCCAGGAGAAACAAGAGGTCAGGTGAACTTGTCGGTCACTCGCCAGCGTCTGGATGTCCGTTCCCCGCGTTACCGCCTCAGTTTTGCTCTGCCACATCCTGTGAACCCCAATTTGTGCAGAGCAGAGTGGCTGAACTCTGCGCTCGAAATCACTCTTCGGATGGACAGAGAATTTGACTTCATAAATTTCTGATTTCAGCAACCATTCTCTGGTCTTCAGGATTTAGAAATGTCTTGTATTTAAAAGTGAAAATAAATTACTATAACATCCATACATTTTTTCGTCAAGAATTTTCACGTATTCCCAATTAACTCCATGGACCAGAGTCCTCCTCAAAAAATACAGACAGTCACTCAACTGGTCAAGAAATTCCCATACTTTTATGACACTCAAAAATTATTTTAACATACACATAAAACCTAGACTCTCAATTCTGGATTAGTCGCATCCGTTCCACACATCCGTGCCCCATTTCCTTATTCTTCCCTCCATACCATGGTCTTCCTTTTAAATTCCTCACTAAAAGTTTCTACGCATTTCTCATTTTCCTTAGGCCTGATGCGTGCACTACTCAGTCTCCTTGACCGTATCACCTCAGCATTTGGTGACGAGCACAAATTATAAAATTTGTCACGTAAGTTTGCCATATTCCTGTTTCCCTCCGTTAGATCATCATTCTCTGCAGTACTCTGTTTTCAAACACCTTAAGGAACTCTACGTCTTGGTTTCAGAAACTTTGAAACAGATGGTTATTTATTTCGTGTTCAGTAAAAAGGGCTTGCGTCAAATGCAATATTTGCTTACTTAGGCCCTTCTTACCGAGAAACAACGAACTGTAGAGTGTCTCTGAAGGAGACACCGAGAAACATGGTGGAAAGGGTGGATGTCCCTTCTTGTATTCAACGCGTCGAGTCTGCTACCTGGGACAGCTGCCAGATACCAAAGTTCAAGGCAAAGCATTTTTCATAGTCATCTCGTGAAGGTGGTGGACCGGTTTCAGTTGACCCTTTGGTCACGGAAGCGGAAGTTGTATCGACACATCCGTGAGGGGTCGGCACAGCTCAGTGAAGTATTGTGTGCGAGACGACTGGAGTTCCATTCCTGACAGCGACAAGAGTTTCTCTCGTCTTCAGACCGGCCTTGTGGCCCCCCCCCCCAGGCACCGGGGCTCCTCTCTCGGGAACAAAGAGGCCGGGTGGTGAATCTGAAGGTACGACTTCGATTTGCATCGCCCTGATGTTGGAGTCAGCATAGACCTCTGGAACGTTTGTGGACATCTATCAGACTACACGGCGCAACGACTCAGAAGACAGTAATCTTAAATTTTATTTCGATTTTCACAAACACATGTACACATACTCCGGCTCCTAACTTTTCGAGATGGCTCCTAAAATTAGAGGAATATTGTGCAGGTCTGGATATTATAATATACTTAGGATCCAAATCAGGTACTAATCTTGTAGTTAACTACTCAGTTGTTTAAAGTTTAAGGTATATGACGTCATAGCTGTCGTAACGCAATAATATGAATGAAAAGATCTCAAGTTCAAGATCACTGTTGCCTACAGGCCGACCGAAAAGTCTGGAACACCACCAAGATTTTGTTTCTTTTCTGGTATCTTGGCGAAAAATGTCTACAGTATTAGAGAAACGCACGTAAATTATTTTTTTTTTTACAGACATAATGTATGACCTCAAAGACATGGAGATTTAACAACTCAGTTACAAGCCCATCGCTATCAGAATATTGTTGAGGAAGTTTAAAGAAACAGTCTCTGAGGAGTAAAACCTACATTCAAGTTGTTCTAAAGCCTCGAGGGAATTCTGCGAAGCTGC